CGGCACGGGGACACTCGACGACAGATGGACCTTGTCAGGAGTGGTGCGAGTTAAAACCGGACGGCGGACCTTGGCGATGACGAAGCCCTATTATAGACCTTTGATATTACACTAGTTGGCCACCGGCCATGATTCTACTCACGGATGGGTTCGGAGAGAAAGAGCCAGAAAAAAAAAAAAAATCCTTCACGCTCTTGGTTCCAAAATTAATGAGCGGTGGTAATTTGATCGGGCTCCACCTTACCAAGTTAACGGCAGGTAGAGGTAGTGTACGGGTAGGTCCAATCACTACACTAGTAGTGTAGTGTACATAAGTAAAACAGCGAGCGATGCTTCTTCTCACCGGGCGCGATGGATCTCAACGGCACCTAACACCGCATGTTCGGCACTGCCCTGTCGCAGTCTATGCTAGGTCCAAGACTTTGAATTAGCAAAAAAACGCGTGTTCACCTTGCCGAGTTGCGGGTTTCATCATCAACCAAGCGTCTTGGCAAGGTTTAAAACCGGCACCGCATTTTTGAGTAGTCTGACTGACGAGTGGCGATCCCGCGATATTGTAATCAAAACAGCCTCAGCCTGAAGGGAAGATAAGAGGGATGAAAAAAAGAAAAGAAAAGAAAAGGGCGACTATAAACCCGTATGCATGTCTCGGCTCACGCACTTGATAAGTACCTAACAGTATCGTAGCTAGAGGTACACGTGCCTGCTGTGGTCAGTGAGAGTGCACAAGCTGCCCTGCAGCCACGGCAGCCAGCGGGCGCCGATACTGCCGTTCCAGCGAATGTTCAGCGCCGCCCAGAGCATCCAGCCCGCTCCCGCCAAGCACGCCAAGGCCAAACAACGCACCCACCGACGAGTCTTGGTTGGGCTTGGATGGCGATCGCGAGCGGGTTCCGGGCGCTTTTGCGGGCAATCCAATTCCCTGATGCGGGATTCCCCCCTTTCCCTTGGTTCCATTTTCTTTATTTCTCTTTCCATTCCTTTTTGTCATCGCGTTCCCCCTCCTTCGAATTGTCTGTTTTTTTCTTCTTTCGCTGTGAAATGTTGACGGTAATACCATTAGAAGGAGAAGAACAACCCAGTTCGCGATCGCACGGCCTGACTCGGTGAGCAAGAGAAGAGAGGGAAGAGGGACCCGACATAGTCAGTCAGTCAGCAGCACAGAGCACAGACAGACACTGCAGAGAACAAACGAGGAAAAAAAAAAAAGGAGAATGCGCCTGTCATCTCTGCAACGCATGGCCACCGGCTTAGCAGCAGCACCAGCAGCACACGCACCAGCACAACCATCGCGGGGTTACAGTCAGAATGTCGTCGGAAGACGGCCTTCTCTGGCTGTAGTAGCCGCCAAACTTGTATTGCTCTGTGCGATCGGCACAGGACTTGTTGGTGGTCCCATCGGTGTCAATGGCGAGTCCTTGATCACCGCGACAAGCGCAGCATCGGCGGCCGTAGCGTCCGCAGCCCCGTTGGATATCGCAACTCCGATGAGTACCACTACCGCCGATAACCACAAGCATGGGTCCTCCTCCGGCTCCGGCTCCGTTCCCGCCTCTATTTCTGGGTCCGATATCATCACATCCGTCGCCAAGCCGGCTGCCGAGCCCACCACCGTCTCTATCTGGGTTCCTGGGTATATGAAGGAAGATTGGGAGCAGTTGAGGGGCAGCATCGTCAGCCGTGTAGGTTTTCCCTTTTGTCCTCGATCATCAGACCTATGGTTCACGTTTCCGCTCGTGTTTTTTCTGCCGTCCGGGTTCATCATGCTCCAATCTCCACTACGTCTTCTTGATCGTCGCCTCTAATGCAAGTCGTTGTTGCAATACAGGACGAATCCATGACCGCCTACACCATTTTTTGCGCCGAAGGACAGCCAAGTTGTTTCCTGTCCGCCGATGCACCCTTTGTATTTACAGAAGGCCCCAGGTCCTTCAAGTATACAGGGGTAGCAGAGCCAACCTTGTATGTCAACGTCTTTGTCCACTTTACCTTTCATGCCACTTCTTTTCCTTTCTTTCTGTTCTTGTCCGCCATCGATCCTGTACCCACCAAACAATGACTAACACTCCCTCTCCCCCCTTGACAGCACACAAGAGATACATTGCAGCTTCAATGTCACCTCCGCCGCCGTTTGCGCCGGCACCTCCACAGTTGGTTCGCACTACGTCATAGGCACCGTCACTGGCCCCGCGACGTCGAGTTGGACAAAGACTTACAGCAGCTCCAACATCACCTGGGTGGCCTTGACGCTGGCCACGCCCGGCCCCCATGTTGGCACTACGGACATTGACGGCACGGTGGTGGCGTCGGCGACAAGCGGAGATCCTTACGGCGGTTTGGGAAGCGAAGGACTATTTGCTCCGACGGGTATCCCCAAGAGCAGCGCTGCTAAGGGCTGGACGGTGGAGATGATGGGTCGTTTGGGGGTTGCTGTGGCGGGCCTGGTTGGAGGGATGTTGATGCTTTAAAATATTTGCAGCAGATCAAACGCATTGAGGGTCGGGTTTTCATTTTCTTGTCTTTGCACTTTTTTTGTGGCATTGGTGCTGGCGTTGGGACGGGGACTGATTGAAGGATATACCGCTTCGTTTCTTCAAATTTTGAGCTCTTCCTGTTGGAATATGACATTGCAGCGTTGGCATGGCATGGAATTTGTGGGGGACAGGAGGAGGTGAGCTCAAGCATCTGCTGGCCGAGCCCAGGACGCTATCTATGATTTGGAAGTAGAGAAGAATGTATCAGGCATCGAATAGAAGATGTTTGTCGGTTGCTGTAACGGATCAAGTCGAGGTCGTGGTTGATAGCTTCGTGACGCGAGTCTGGGTTACCTCCAGACACTCAAGTGTTCAAAGATATAGTTACCTTTGTATTCTTCATATCTTATCGTGGTTCCATCGAACGAAAGGCTGACTTGTTACCCGGGCAGCGATGAAGTCAGGCTTGGAACTTGGATCTTACCGTACTTTGTTCCCGTGTGTGCGGCACGGTGCCTGGCTGTCCCATATCTGGGTTTGACAGAACGCAAGACCTTCCCGTCGGGATCACAAAACGGGTGTGCGAGGGTTGACGAGTGAGCTGGTCGAGCACAGGTTTAATATCATATCTGAAGCCGATTTGATATTCAACTCTGTGAGAAATCCCCAAGCTGTGCATGTAAGCAAACAGGTCAGCTGGCTCAGCTAGCTCAGCTGCACCCGAGAAGAACCTCCAGGACAGCAGGGACAGTTCATGATTTTGGTTAGCAAGTACTTTTTCGTTTGACGCTGGGCACCATCTTTTCTTTTTCCTGGTGGGAGAGAAATGAGCACAAGAGATGTCTCAAGCCAGCCATCACCAAAGTCGAAAGTAACGCCAGCAAAAGACGATGGTTAGGTGGCTTATCAACCGCAAGTCCGCAACCACAGCCGCAACCGCAACCGCAGCCAGTCCGTCCTAAGCGGATGATGCAGATCTACCAAAATAGTACATACCTAGTCAAGTCTCACTCGTAAACAGTCGCGCGGCTGTTGGCAAGTGGTAACCGCTCACGAGAATTCAACTCGCAAGCGAAAAGAAGGTGGACGGTCGCCAGTGTCGTATTCGAGCATCCTCGACCAATCAATGCAATGCCCCTTCCCTCGTGTTTCATGTTTCTACATTAGCCTCAATTAGGGATGGCTGTGAATTTCTGGGTAACTGTAAGGAACGAAAATGTAAGGAAAAAGAAAGGAAAGTTACTGATGTTTCTGTCACACGTGACCATGCATATGCCAAAGCCCAATAATATATGTGTGTTCCATTGGCTAACTTAGGGTGAAATGTATGCATTTTAATCATAATATTTATAACCATATTTGTCCTAACTACTTCCAAACCAACGGTATCTTGATGTATTTTTTTAACTTAACTCCATCTTGTAATATAAATAACAATACTAGAATGGGGTTTTGTTATAATGAAAAGGAGGTAGTCGTATAGGCTGAGTGTGCACGGATCAATTTCGTTAGCGGAATTTCCTGAATTTCAAGATTTCGGAAAATTTCTGAAAAAGTCCCAAAATTTCAGAAATAAACCATCCCTAGCCTCAATGGGGATGACCTAACAATCCCACCAATCACTGACCCTGTCGGGCGTTCCTCAATTCTTCAACCACTGCTGCACAACTCTCCATGGGGGTGGGGACCCACTTGGGACGCGCGCTCCAGTCCCGTCAAGTCCCCGGCCGCTCCAGATGGAAAGAGAAGGAGCGGGGCACCCGAGGAGTGTCAGACTGCTCCAACTGCCAAATGCACAGCTGCACAACTTTGAACTTGCTTTGCCTGCCCCTGGCAAACATCAACCGCAGTTCTTGCTTGGCAGGGTTCAAGTTCTTTGTGGACCGTAGTATTTCACTTCTTTTGATCATGTGGGGTTCGCTCTCACAAAGAGAGGAAAGGGACACAATGAAGGGCAATCAGAGGTACGAAACCTCACACATACCAAGTTGGCTTCTGGTAGAATCCATGGAAGACAGTCCCCGGCGGCACAAGTGCAAGGTACACTACACTATGAGCGAGTGATATGACGCTGATTAGCACGGACAGATCGACTGGTTGTTGTTGCCCCTCGCTCTTGCTTCAAGGTTCCTTCCTTGTCAGTGAGTGTCCATCATCGATCGCCGTTTGATGGAACTGGAGCTGGAACTGGAAACAATTCCCGCCGTCAACACTTTCCTTGCGACAATCACGACCACAACGCCTCCAGTCGCCCCCTTTCCTTCCACGCTCCACGCCTCCATCGAACAGCCGCCCATCCATCCATCCATCCATCCATCCATCCATCCATCCATCCAAAACACAGATCGTTTTTCTCTTTTTTTTATTGCCGACCCCCGTCAGTGTGCGGTACAGCGCAAAACATCTAGGGTGATGCCTGCAAAACTTGGGGAAACGAAACAAAGCTACACCCAAAATAAGAAAGGTTCGAGGCACCTGGAGCGAATCCGCTTGCAATGGTACCTGAATGCCTCCATTCGATGCGTCAAGCTAGTGGTGTAGTGTACACTAGAGCAAGCATCCACAATGATCTGGAACTCCTCGATTGGCCCTCCCGTCTTGTTTCCATCAAAGGAAGGCATCGATGTGTTTGTCGATTACCACGACGAACTCAGTGGTCCAGAGCACACAGCAGGACCACAGCACCACGCATGAGGACGAGATGGAGAGGACGGGAGAACACCCGTCAGTCCCCGTTTTTCCATCTCCTACGTCCTTCCATCCACGAGGTGTTTACAATTCACACCATGCAAGCCCACTCAGTCTCTGCAGTGTTCATCCCGTCCGTCCTTTCTCCGGCATTGACCACTGAGGTTGCCATGTCCCCCATCCCCGTGCCCCGATCCCCCTCCTTCTTGCATACCGGGTGGGGTCCGGATCACCGTGGCACCCTTGGAACATCCTTGAGGCTAAAGTCAGTCGCCTGCATGGGCTGGAGCTCAGCCTGCCCCTTTCATCCTATGCTCGGATCCTGGGGTGGGGCTCCACCACCATGAGGCTCCTATTGTGGTGGTGTCTGGTCAATAAAGCTCACGGTGGCCCAGCCCAACATGTCCATCTTCTTGCCGGTACCATTGTCTGTGTTCTATTTCGTCTTCCTTCGTTTCCTTTCTTCATCATCGTGCTGTTGCTTGCAATAAGCCTTGAAGCCAACAATAGTGTTGACCACTTCCAATACGATCCTTCATCTTCTGTCCTTCTCTTCTTCAACTCGAAGCCTTGACTGTGCTTCATCTGCTTTCCTTTTCGAAAATCGACAGTCCATATAGACGCCACTGAGTAACCTGCAGCTCACATTTGCCTACCTTCATTTACGACCTGATCACTCTTAACACTCGCTGGACGATTAAGTGCGGGACTGGAAATATACGACATAAGGGGAAGACCAACAAGACGAACAAGATTTTTTCGAATTTAACGGTATACACCAAACCATCGCAATGAGGTTCGTCAAGTCAGTAAAGCCCGCGGCAGCGGCCATCTCCTTGATCTCAGCTGGCATCCCCAAATCTCTGGATATCAGCAGCCCTAGTAAGTCGACATACCTGGTCAGGTCATACCCCGTCACCGGGCACTAACACAAATAATCCCAGCCTCGGTCCAAGGTGTCGCCAAAACCATTGCCCAAAACACCATGTCTTTCTACAAGGGCACGGACGACCAGTTTGTTGATCTCGATGCCCCCTACTACTGGTGGCAATGTGGTGCCATGATGGGCAGCATGCTCGACTACTCCCACTACACTGGCGACCACACCTACGACAAGAAGATTGCAACTGCTATTGTCGCCCAAGCCGGCCCCGACTTCGACTTCATGTCCCCAGCCCATGCGGGCCAAGAAGGAAACGATGACCAGGCGTTTTGGGGTTTCACCGTTCTCGCCGCTGCCGAGCGTAACTTCCCTCAGCCCCGATCTGACATCCCGGGATACCTCGAACTAGGCGAAAACATCTGGAAATCACTTGCCTCGCGGTGGGATACCTCGACCTGCAACGGTGGCCTTCGTTGGCAAATCTTTGCCTCGAACCCTAACGGCCTTGACTACAAGAACGCGGTCAGCAACGGCGGATTTTTCCAGCTCTCGGCACGTCTAGCTCGCATTACTGGCAACCAGACCTACGTCGAGTGGGCAAACAAGGTGTGGGACTGGACCCAGGGAACTGGTATAATTAACGAATACTACCAGGTCCTCGACGGTGCTAGCTCCGCCAAGAACTGCTCCGACGTTAGCGCCGCCCACACGCCCTCCTTCTCCTACAGCCAGGGAATTTACACCTACGGCGCCGCGGTCATGGCCAACATCAGCACCGGTGCCGACCAGGATAAATGGACCGACCGCACCAAGAGACTCCTCGAGAGCTCGCAAAACTATTTCACCCCCTTCGGCGACGTCAAGAACTCCACCGACGTCATGTACGAGCACGCCTGCGAGCACATTGACATTTGCAACACGGACATGCGCTCCTTCAAAGGGTACTTCTCCCGGTTCGTCTACGCCTCCAAGATTATGGTCCCCTCGATCAAGCCTACAGTCGATCGTTTGCTGCACACCTCGGCCAAGGCTGCTGCCCAGGGGTGCCAGGGTGGTTCTCAGGGAACCATGTGCGGAACGAAGTGGTATGTCGATGGGTTCTATGGAGATGCTGGGTTGGGAGAGCAGATGAGTGCGTTGGAGACGATTCAGGGAATCTTGATTGATCAGGCGAACCCGCCTCTGAAGGGGGATGATATCAAGACTGTGAGGACTTTTTCATCATCGTCGTAACAGACGTCGAGTGATGAGACTCCTCCGGCTGGAAATGAGAGTCCAAAGACGAGTTCTGAGTCTTCGGAAAGCGTGGCGTCAGGGGTGAATGAGGTCAACTACCAATGGCTGTTATGGATATATGGGCTGGCTTGTGTTTTGGGTCTATGAGCCGCCGCATCTTACCCTGGAAGCGGTGATGTCGGTCGGATTGCTGAATTGTTTTGCAACGTCATTAACGTCATCATGGCCATCGTGTTAAGCATCTTCAGTTTGTGTCTTCTTTTTTTTTCGATTCTTCTGTATATATAAGATATTTGGGATAGGCATGGCGATTTCGCCGGAATGAGACAAGATCAATGATGATTTTCGTACCGCAAGACACTTGTTTTGGAATGGATATGATCTAGCCACACTCTCCTTACAGGTGCTCAAGGGGCAACAGATCGGAACTGCAACAAGAAGATGCTATATGCCATATGAATATCAAGATCACAAATATTAACAATGAGAATTGTATGTTCTACTGATGAAAACAAACTCATGCATTAGCTACGACAGCGTCTAGTGGTGTAGACCCAAAGATACTGACCAACAAAGAAATCCACATTGTACAATACAGGACTGGTTTGTTTGTTCGTTTGGTTTTTCTGAAGGACAAAGCATGGGTAGAATAAGGTCAATCTAGAGACTTATGGGCCTTGGAAAAAGGAACAACTCGTTCCCGTTCGTAGAGTTTCGATAATGACCAGGACTCACAAATGCTACAGAAGCACCTCTCCCGTCCTCTTTATAATATGTTATCAAGGCAGCCCTCGACGCTGAAACAGATCATGGATGTCCGCCGTTTTCGTTGTCGGAGCTATTCTCACTGCTGGACTCTTCCGGCTGGGACCTGCTAGCCTCTATGATCTCTTGCCTGAAGCTAGCCGGATAAAATGGCATGTCTTCGCTGCAGAACTGGAAGATTCAGCGCAGAATAGACAGGTCGAGAATCGGAATGGCATTTCCTGCCTTTCTCGAATGAGGGCACCTCAGTGCTTCAGTTTGACAGCGGCAAGGTCGATCTTTTTTTTTCTTTTTTTTTCTTTTCCTTTTTTTTTCGCCCAAAACGAATAGTATTCTACAACATCTATCCGCGAGGATTTTGGTCGATTTCCCAAGTCTGGCATTCTCTGGCTTTTCTTTTACCAAACTAACCAACAAACCAGGGCTGGATTGTACTAAAACTGACTTGAGGTGAGGGACGCACGGAAAGAATCCTGTGGTTGTACAATATAATAATAGAATGTTGGTTGATTTGGTTCTTCGGCCATAGGTTGAACAGGGGAAATGTAGAGCTCTTATTAGCTTCCTTAGAGTTTTCGTTTGGAGCGATCAACAATGACCAGGGTGTAATACGCCACAAAAACCTCTTCTTATGACTCCATCCGTCTCCTTGAAAACCTCCAAGCTTGGAAAATACATACTGTTGTGCTGTGACAACAAACGGCAAAACCTCGCTGCGCCGGGATCCGGACCGAGACTCAGTCGGGTCCCATCCCGTCAAGACACCCCACATGGTGGTCAAACGGCAACGACGACGGGGCCCTTCTAGCCTGTTGCCCTGCACAGATGCTCTTTCCGCTTCACTTCACTTCATTTCACCTTGTTACAGTCTTTGTGCCAGGTTGGATGTTGACCGCCTTGAGGCAACCCTCATCGTGTACATCTGGTGAATGGAACTGCCCTGTGGTTCAACAACCGCTTTTTCGAACCTTCACTTCTCAATGTTGATCATCTGACCTTCGACACATCACACACCTGGAATTTTCCATCTCTTGGAAGTCCGTGCCTCGGGCTTCCCATTCACCGGCACTTTCTTTCAGTATTTTAGGCTCCTCTGGTTTCCGCTCCCCCTCCTTACACATTTCAACAACCAAATCTCGAACACACATGGCTTTAAGCTCAACCTTTTGAAGTCACAACCTTGCGCTCTGGGGCATCTCCACCTGACTGAAGATATCCTCTATCGCTTCAGCACATCTCAGCCAAACAGCTGTGATCATTCAAGCAAGCCATATACGGCCGGCGCTCACTCGCCTCGGTCTCAGTCCGCACCCAAACGACAAGCCCCTCAGCACATTCGCCCTTTGATTACCCCAACGCCACGCCACGCTTTGCTTCCGCCTGTCTTGTCGCTGGTACGTACTCGTTGAGTAATACGAGTCGCGGCGACGGGCCTCCTTCGATCGTCAAGTTTGTTCCGGAAGACCAGTTTTGCGAAAGAAGTCGTTGACTTCCACGACGGCGGCACGTACAAGAAATTACCTGCAGTACATGTAGGTTCCTGCACGGGGCTCGCTTTACATACAGGTAAGTGCCATTCGCCCCCCATTCACCCAGCAACTCATACCCTAGCCATTTGCTACCTTTGATCTTTTCACTTTATTTATCTTGTAGGTACTGACGCCGATTGTTTTGCTAGACATCTACAATCGTCCCCAAACCGGAGAAAACGAATCACGACCGATACCATGGCTACGACTTTCCACCCTTTCCCTTTCCTCCCCTGGGAGCTGCGTGCTCGCATTTGGGAACTGACGGTTGAGCCTCGGACAGTCGACGTCCACGCAAAAAGATACTACCTTGAAACGAAGGAAAACATAGAGACGGCTCCTTCTGGCCAGCAAGCATACGCGCGGCTGGTCTCGACCACGCCCGTGCCAGCAACACTACAAACTTGCCGCGAGTCGCGCAATCTCGGACTGTATCAAAAGGGCCTTTCTGAGGTTGAAGTTGTTCCGGAGGGCGGCGAGAGGCGTTACGTCTGGCTGAATTTTGACATTGACACGATTGACTATGGACGGGATGACCTTTACAACTATCGTTGGGCAGCGCAGCCTGTAAAGCGGCTCAAGTACAGTAGCCGAAAGTTCCACTACTGCGATGTTCGTTCATTCAACTTTTTTGAGAACTTGATAGAGGCTCACATAGATTGCTTCGACGAAGAAGGCCTGGGGGAGTGGTACCACATCTTTGGACCCTTCGTGCTCACCTGCGATCGCAGAAACATACACTTGATCCAATCGGAAAATAATCGCACAACTACTGCTCAGGAACTGGAAGAGGAAATCCAACGTCGGGAAGAGGAGGATTTTGCAGAGTTTGCAAACCTTGATCCGGTTCCAGTTTCTGAGATGCTTGCCGGACTTGACGTTAACTCATTGATGCCCACCCTCCTGCATGTCGCCGACATTGTTCGGAACATGGAAGGCAACAATTGAGAAGAGGAAATTGTATGGGAGGCTTTCTGTCAGGGAATCCTCTAGGCTTTATAGCATCTAGACAAAAAGACCAAGGGTCTAGGGGCGATTATTCACATCATGAAGCTTGATAGACAAAAGATCCGTACAATGTCTTGATTACTTGGCTATCACAATGTATCACGATTTCACATGAATCATTCGCGAATTGCAACCATCAATGTCCAGATGAAGATCGCGAGTAGACCTTCCTCACAGACAGCCCCAGGATAGTTGAGCAGCAACTTAGAGACTTCATGCTTTTTTTTTTTTTTTTTTTTTTCTCCCAAGACTTGCTCGTACAATCTGTTTGTCTCCCAGTGTTTTTGAACACTATCTTTATAATAGTATCTAGCAAGGCTTACTATTTTTTTATTTCTAACGAAATTTGTTACGGCGATGCTTTGCACCCGACTGTTATGGAGGGAAAGTCCGTAACCCACCTACCAATGTCCGCCCTCTTCAGACAAATTATTTATACCCACTCTTGTTTCCGCTACAAGTTTTCTTGATGTTCTTAGATAAGACGAACTTGAAGTCATAGACAAACAAAAAGAGAAAAGTTCTTGCACTGTCCTACTATGACTCCTACCGCGGCTACAATGGAACAGATCGATTGCGAGTAGTTCAGTAGACAGAAAGGGCGACATTGCAAGTTGATTCTGGGAAAACTAGAAACGTGACTGTTCACGTCAATGATGATACTCGTAAACAAAGGGGGTATTGTGCGAGGCGTATGCCGCAGAAATTACTCTGAGCGACTACTCTCAAGACACCGACAACCAGGGGCCCGGGGTCCGGGGCACAGGTATAGATTGTAAGAAATGGAGAACACGGAAGTTGAAATTACGCTGGGAAATAAAGAGGTAATGAGTGATGAAGCCCTTCAAACGATCTACCTCGATTTGATGCTTTGCATGCCTTGGGTGGGAACGAGCTCTCCCACCGTAACAGACGGGATGTAGAGCATCCATAATCTTGTGTCGAGGTTCACTGAGCATGCAATATCGCCAGGTTGACGACAAGATGGAATAAGAATGCTTGAGATAACCTGAAAAAGAAAAGAAAAGAAAAGAAAAGAAAAGAAAAGAAAAGAAAAGAAAAGAAAAGAAAAGAAAAGAAAAGAAAAGAAAAGAAAAGAAAAGAAAAGAAAAGAAAAGAAAAGAAAAGAAAAGAAAAGGAGGAAATGGCAGTTGAGTACCTACGTACGCCGTTATATACATGGCTTGGGGGAAACGTGTTTGGATCATCGATATGCAGTGCAGCGAGGAATTGTTAATGCATGCCACGGATCGATCGATGTCCGACACCTTGAGATGTGCGCTGGGAGCAAAATAGTGGGATTTTCCGAAGACCGTAAAAAGTAGGCATCAAGCAGGCAAAAAGCAAGGACAAAGCAGATGAGGGGACGAAGTGAGTCAATGTAGGAGGCAAGACGTCAAAGTCATGAAAACTCCACTGTCCCGCAAGCTAGAAAGGTACGGGTTTTGTCCATCTCATTGCAGAACAGGTATAACAGGTACAAATAGGTTTGATTTGTGAACTAACTTTACCGCAACGCAGGAGATTCGGTATATTGCTCCTGCAGTCGAGGATTGTGGTCTCTGGTATTCCAGTCACGACGTAGCTGCTGGTATTTTCCTTTAGTAAACCTTTCGTAAAGCTCGACTTGATCTCTGCGTTCCTCCTCGGAAGATCCTTCAAAATTACAGCCTTCGGCCCCTAATATACGCTCCCATAGCGTAGTAAATGTGAGCCCATGACATCCTGCATTCTATGTCATCAGAAGAAAGACTAGTGTAATCCTTGTATCCAGCCTCAAACTCCTCTTGGTGCGGCTCGAAGCGTTTTTCAGCTTCCCGATTCCATTCAAATAAAGTCGTAGTTTGATCGTTGGTTTTGTCGATCAATATAATGCGTTTTCTGTTCAAGTGGCCAATGTAATATAACATGAGGATGCAACCGCAGCGTTGCAAAATGCGCTCACTTGGGCAAACGATGTGAACTTCTTCCAGGTTGTGAAGCTCAGACAGAGCTATGGCGTCGTCGAGGACAAACCTATAGCGCTCCAACTTGAGCCGCTTAGTAGTTTGGGCTACCAACTTTAAATCGCGAAGGTCCCGCGGCCCAATGTCGATGATATCGAGATCGAGGTTCGACCAGATGTATCGCATCGAACTAGCTTTGGAGACAAATTCGGGGGTGCGTTGGAGCTCAGAAAAGCACTGTCGGTACACTCCGAGGTTACGTGACTCGCGACACACTTGGAGCATTGCTGGTATGGGGGTAAGGGAAATAACCGCCTTGTGTTGCTTCTTGCCGGCAGACGCATCCGACAACGGGTTTCCATCATACTCCACCGTGCGAACGTGGACTACGCGGGGCTCAGCAGAAAGTTCCCAGACTCGAGCACGCAGCTCCCAGGGGAGGTAAGGGAAATAATGGAAAGCCGTGGCCATTGTTGAAGTCGTTTGTTATCTGTCGGTTTCCTATAAATATGATATCATCAGCAACTTGCGGGCCCCGACTTGAGGGAGGCTTGGATGTCATTGGCACTTACTTGAACGTAGACTGAGCCGCAGGAATGACCAGAATGCACCGCAGGTACAATCTTCTTTGTGAGCGCCGTTGATGCGGAAGCCAATAGCTTTTCTCTATAAGGAAACTGGTCTTGGGAAGGACCCCTCCAGGGTCGAAGGGGCTGTGGTTGCGACCCGCAACACTCGACAATTGTGTTCAAGTGTCGCGCAGGAAACAAAAGTAGTGGCGTGGCTGTGACGAGATAAGGATGATCTACGCGTGGGGTATTAGTGTGAGGCCCAAGATGAATACCGTTTTCGTGCAATTTGAAGCTGAGTTGATGATTTGGGCGCATACGTTTCACTTGAGAGACCAGAGCTCCTTCTGGAGGAAGCACTGGGGAAATAGAGAACCGTCTTGACCTGGATACCTATGCTCCGAAGCAAAGGAATGCTGCTTCCTGAAGATGAGGCTTCGTTCCGCAAGCCCGGCAATATGGAAGAGAAGGAGTGATAAGGACGGCTTGAGTGGCCGGGAAAAGTCCAGAGGTAGAGGACGGAAACGAACTTCCGAGTCAGTTTTCACTTCTTACGTGTGCGCGCGGGGTTGCCTGACATATGCATGATGGGATGGGAGACCCGTCGTTCTCGTGGCACGTACTCGACCTCTCTCCAGTCCGCACTTCTGCTGCCATTTGATGCCTCGCAGTCAACCACGCCCCTCAGAGCAAGAAAGACTCTAGGCCGTGTCATCAACCTTTGGCCCGCTGAGGCAACACCATTCTCGTTCTCGCCAGCTCCGTCCGGCATATCCCCAGATAAGGCGGCGGTAGACGTGTCCAAACCCAAACTCTTCTTCAAACGCAGTACATTAGCGAAGCATACAGCATAGCTCCTAGCTGCATTATCGCACGTAAGTACACTTCCCTTGTACTTCTACTCCATGTTTGGATCAACTGGGACTGTGATAACATTCAGATTGGGAAAACGCCTTTGTACCATTACAGGTATGAGGGCATTCAGACATCCATCCAATACCTACACTTCGTGAGAGACAAACTGCATGACTGGGAGGTTGAAGATCTCAAACGTTGTGTAAACCTCAAGCTGATTACCATAATCTGTAAATCTGGGGCGACCAGTTGGCGTCGACCTTTCCGAGGTTGCCTGATTGATTGCGAGATTGAACTTACGGTTTGGGATGATCCAGATGGCTATCAGAACATGTACGGCGACTACGATGATCTGATTGACAGAGCCCTCGACGATCCGCATGAGGAGTGGTCTATCGAAATCACTCCGCGATTTTTTCGTGGCTCCTGAAAGCTTCTGCTTTCCATCCCCTATCCTAGAAGTATCTAGAATGGTAGACCTGGAAAATCGACAAGTTGATCGTTGAAGTGGCTGCTGTCTTCACGCGAGCAAGGGACAAGTCTGTGTGTTTTTCTTGATGAATCACGACGACGAACGCCCCCGAGTTAGATGTCCATCGATATGTGCCTTCACCACCCAACCTTCCTCCTCCCGAGAGATTTGCAGGCATGTAAGGTCCGGATAGGTAACCTGGGGAAAGGTTGGCGACATTGTCAACTCTCTCCATGGGAATGAACCTTGGTTGGAGAGGCCTCCCCTTACTCTGCCTTGCATTCACTAGATTATTCCCTTCATTAGGCCAGAAAACCTTCAGTGACCCTTCACCTTTTCTTTTCTAGTTCTATTTAATCCACCCACCACTCCCATATTTTGCGCTATTTCCTGCACAATTTTCTCACCTCTTTGCTGGTGCGCTACACTCAACCCTGTCCATCGTGTCTTGCGACATTTGTTGTTGCAGACTCAACCATCTCCTCCAAAGCAACAACCCAGCTTCTCTCATCATCCAGCTTTGGCCATCGACGGCAAACTATCATTCGCTTCCCCGCTTGAAGCGGATTCTCAGATCGGTTTGATACGTGCTCAGCAATCGACACAGTTGGACTACTGTACGGAAGAGCGCGAAGTAGAAAGACATCGAGGCCAGGACGACATCTCGCATTCTCGACCTTGCGATCTTGCCAACTATAGTCCTTCGTGGCAACTGGATTGCTTCGTTGTGGGCACCCATTTGTCTGCGGCTGGCGTTGTCCCCAGAAATACGGGTTTCCAGGAAGAAGCTACGTGTTCAATATCTTTCCAGGCCTGGACAGCCTCGAGACAGGGTGACGGCAAGACGCCGCTGTCAGCGTCTCTTTCTAGCGCAGTGCATTAGGGGCGCATGCAGCATCGATACCAGTAATTCTTCCGTCCAGATCTGCACTGGTCACATAGGTAATTATTTCTGACCTTCATCCGTGCCTACTCTCCATCCTGACTTTGATCCAAGTTCTGACAACGTTGCCATCTTCAGCTACCAGCAACTACCTACCTTGAGATCTCAGAGCACACGGCGACAGCTGCCCCCAACCCCTGCCGGCAACATGTCCACCACAGAGACGTTTCACCTATTCCCTTACCTGCCATGGGAGCTTCGTGCCATGATATGGGAATTCACAGTTGCGCCTCGCATGGTTTGACGTCCGTGTAGTTTCCGACCAGATACAAGGGACACTTCGCAGAGATTTGCGTTCGGTGAACAGGGTACCAGAGATACTCCAAGTTTGCAAGCAGTCCCGCTACCTGGGAGTGTACAAACAGGCATTCACTGAAATCCTATCGGGCACATCGGACTTCCAGCGGAAATATGTTTGGATCAACTGGGAGCATGATACCATCCGGGCGGGAATGACCGAACTGCGCCACTTTAGGTACGAAAGCATCCAAACTTCCATTCAGCGGCTCGACATCGAGATACTGCGGCTTCTGCCTGGAGAGATCAAGATTCTCCAGGGCTTTGTAAAGCTCAAGAAGCTTGATATTCACGGCGAGATCTGGAATTTCCGATGGGCCTTTCGCCTGTTCCCCTTTGCATGTGGTCAGAAAAATATCATCCTACACGATATGCTGGACTTTCTTACGTTGGACAGCTTTGACTGGGATGAGTTATGGGACGACCTGTGGGATGAAGATATACCTGTCTATGATTAAGATGTGTAACCACGTCTGTTCTCAGTGTATGCGAGGGCTATCTTGGCCGGCCCTGGAGACGCACCTTGGAAGGCAGATGAAACCAACACGCCTATCATGTTCGGCTTAATCGGCATGATTACAAAACGTATTTCCAACTCCGAACGGAGAAAGAAACATATGGCGATTACGAGAGGGGATTTACGTGTCTGAATGCATTGTGGCTGTATGTACATAGGAAGACGATCAAGTACATCCGGCATCGAGTATAACAAATGATCGATATATGTCGAAGCTTGATATACGTCATTGTCTGAGTCCTTCGGACTTCTCTTTGACCCGAGACACGTCACTATACATGGCGGCATGATTGAGAGGGAAAAAAATTAATAAACGTGGATCGGCAGCAGAGAAGCAGATGAGATGCAAGGCACCCTCTGTCTAGGCATGATACATGATCAATAAATCGGACTTCCGCATTGCTTCGGCGTATGGATATTGTATTAATTCATTTATATTCCTACCTGAACTGCATGAGAGCAACGTCGCCCTTCACTTGACCTAGTATATATACCTGACCAGACTGCTCTGTGATTTTCTTCCCAAATTTTCACCACTTCCCCAGAGTTCTTCAAGCTATTGTGGTCAATCAAGTTGACAATAAAGAGCATCCATCACCACAGACCATCATCAAATCCGACAGGCTCTTTCACATATCTGACTCGTCTCGAAACTTTACCGAAGACGGCGAAGGCACAACTAAAAGCCAACTTATCTCTCTCCGCAGTCTGTGGCTGCCGGCTATCACGATCAAGCTCCACACAATCTTGTCGCCTCAGTCAGAATAGGCAAAATCAGCTACCTTCCAGTTACGGTATGTGTTAGCTCCGTGCAAGCAAACAATGGGTTAGCTCGTTCTGTTTCGCAAGTGTTAACATGTCGTCATCTTCCATAGCTACCCACAAGATCTTTTCACGAACAACAAGCATCATGGCCAACACCTTTTCCAAGTTCCTTCAGCTTCCCTGGGAAATCCAAGATCGCATATGAAAACATAGTGTCGAGCCTCGGATCGTCAAGATTCGCAGAGTACAGGTCACGCACGCCAAATGCGTTAACAACAAAGGCAGCGGCCCAGCTTACAAACTCGTCACGGGCACGCCGGTCCCAGCAGTACTACAGACCTGCTACCAAGCCCGTTACAAACACAACTTGTACCAACAAGTCTTTTCCGAGTTGGACACTGTCAGATCTGGCGAAGAGCGCCAATATGTCTGGATGAACTTGGATATCGACACGGTCGACGCGGGCTTTCTCACCGGGCTCACTCTATTCCATTTTCAGGATGTGGCACGATCGATCCGGCGCCTCAAGGTTGAGATCGATTGGATCTCGTGTGCATGTGGCGCGAGAGCTGCCCTCCACGCATGTTTTGTCAACTTGCAGGAGCTTGAGATCACCGTTTCGGACGAAACGTTTCTTGACCGGCAGTCTACAACCAGAGAGCAATTATGCAGCGGCTATATGCCACGCTCTCTGAAGAAACTTGTTGTACATACGACTGCGGACGGCTTGACGAGCCAATGGGATGAGTCCGTGGGCGATGATGATCCTCAACATATCAGATGGATACGAGATAGCGAGATCACGAGTGTTCAGCGGTCACTTTTGAAGGGTCATGCAATTATCTTGAGTAAATGGCAGGAGCCGTGCAAGTGTTGCTCACTAGGATACTGAGTGCTCTCGTCCCGACGAAGTGGTTAGCAGCATGAGCGGGCGTATGATGGCACGGCGAGGGCAAAATTACCTACTTCTATGTATCAGGACGGGGGACCATCATGTACTAGGCGGCGTCGTCAAACATTTTAGAAAGGAGGGAACAAATTTGTGTTGGGCAGACTTGGAAACATTAAGGTTTCAACTATTCATGACCACTTGAGCGTAATATACTTTGTTGCTGTTTAAAGTATTCGAGTTACATATATGGAATTGCTATGTGAACCACCCTGTAGCGTAAGGGTGAACCAAAACCTAATGTAGACGGTCCAGCGCAGGTCTCTGAGGGAAGATATGGGCCCTTCCATGTTAGGGTATGTTCAAGAGGCTGCCTGTAGTAGTAGAGCTACGATGCGTGAGACTTGACGATGATGATTTTTGATGACGTGCTGTCTTTCAGGTTCGCTCCTCCCGCCTTCACTTCACTTCTCCTTCCCTCCCATTCACTCCAAGCTAGAGATCCTAGAGGTACCTAACTTTCTGCCTCAGCTCGTCCCATATTTGGCCGCCTTTGGACCTGGACCCCGCGCATTCACCTTTTAAGTATCCTCCTCTCCTTCCACTCTTCTTAAGCTCTTCTTATCTGCTTCACGGACCGCGCACTGTTTTTCTTCCAAGCAACGCGGCGCTCAACCAACACCGCTTCGCAAGACTCTGAAAGCACGACAGAAAGCGCAACACATCACGACGTCCTAGGCCTGGCGTGGGCCGTTAGCGGCAGCACCTTCCTCACGTCCGTCGGCATCATCTTCTGCGACAGGCGCGACTCCTCTTTCTTTCCGAGCTTGTCTCTGCCGACTCTCGCAACTTTTGCGACAGTAACCGATCCGCGGCTGGCAGACACTCGCCCACTTGAAGACATTATCCCGTCCCGCGCGGTGGACTGTCACACCACTCCTCTCCCTAGACCGGTACAAAGAGACGAGACACTTCCTCCAGTGCGAATCGGTAGCAAGCTTTTGCTGTCTGACCCTTTCGTCTGGCCGTTCTTGTTGCTCGTCCAGTCAGCCACAGCAGGTAAGTATCGCAACCCGATCAGTCCGATTTCACTTTCCCTTCAGCAGTCAAATTCCTTAAGTTGAATTTGATGTAACGAGCGCTGACCAGATCGCCCGAGTCAGTACGAGGAGAAAGTCGCCACGTAGTCGAACAACAGCGAGCAAGATGGCTGCCACCAGTTTCCATCGGTTCATGTACCTACCGTTCGAGCTCCGGGCTCTGGTGTGGGAGCTAACTGCCGAACCCCGTACCGTCGACGTTGGTTTGTTGATTAAAGAAACTACACGAACCTACTACCAAGCACATAATGAGAGAGTGCAAGAGAGTAACGTGAGTTCCTTTACACCGATCCCAGCAATCGTGCAAGTCTGTCGCGAAGCTCGTCAGCTGGGGGTTTATCGACAGCTCTTCTCCGAGTTGGAAGACATACGAGACGGCGGTGAGCGGCGCTATGTTTGGCTTAACCTGGAGCTTGACATTGTCGACATTGGGGAGGCTTGTTTGGAGGATTTCATCCCTGTTGCAGCCTCGATCAAACGACTCAAGTTCAAGGGGGATACAGTTAGCACTGATGATGCCATCTTTCTTGAACAGTGTGTCAACTTGAAAGAGCTGCATATAGTCAGCTCTGAGGACGCACTGTGCAATTTGTATTGGGTCTTCAAGAGATCCCCTCCACATTGCGGGTTGGAAAACATCTTCATGGTTGACTCTCAGCTAGGTCTGGTACCTCTAATCACTAAATTTGCTTCCAAAACTGAGAGGCTAGTATCAAGGTTAGAGGACCTTGAGAGGCGGTTGGAGAATGCCCGAAGAGAGCTCGCACCATCTGATGAGGAGGAGGAGCCATTTGATGAGGAGGAGGAGCCATTTGATGAGGAGGAGGAGCCATTTGATGAGGAGGAGGAGCCACTTCCGCTTCCGTAAGCTTCTGGACGTACAGTGTACATCCGGCAAACGATGATAGATTGAACACTTGAAAAAGAAAAGTCACCCGAAAAGGTTGTGGAGCGAAAGGGTTGGCAGGTTAGAGCATAATCGCGTAGATAACGGATAGGATATGGCCCTATAGCTCTCTAGATGCACAGTGTAGCGGCCAATTCGAGAATGCATCTTCCATCCCCAATTCCACTCAGCCTTCGTTGTCAAAGGGTAATTTTTTTTTTTTGTAATTCTCTACGACTCGAGTCAAAAATCAAGAAAGACGAAAAGATGGCTTCAAAGTTGCGAGGGCGGTGACAATGGTGTCGAGGCGTAACCTGGGCTCCCAAAGCTCGCTCCGGTTATCCGCACCCGGAGATAACTTGGTCACCCCATTGATTGGTTGTCTCAGGCCGAATGCGGAGTAGACTAACACAGTATTATCAGTGATAGCACCCGGCTCAAGCTCCGTAGCATCCATCATCGCTCCCCGCAGTCGGCAGTCGTGATATCGCAGCCATAATCTGCCTATAAAAGCCATGGATGACACAAGAAAATAACGGGGCTTTAACATTGACCTCACTCATGTAAAATCATTCTTGTGGGCTCATCATTCCCTTTTTCACCATGATGACTGAATACCCCATTCCTTGGGAGGCCCGTGCCGCGAAGAAGCGGGAAGACACTCTCGCAAAGATTCCGGCAGAATGGCGACTAAGTCCTGCCGACCTCGAGCTTGCGACCAAGCAGCGAGATATTACGGGTCCTTTCATTGAACGTTTTCTGGAGCCCGAGGTAATCGATGTCGTCAAAACGGACAGTGTTCCTCTGGTCAACGATATAAGGGCTGGCAAGCGCTCGGCGGTAGAGGTCACGAAGGCGTTTTGCAAGACGGCGGCTATTGCTCACCAGATTGTTTGTATACCTCCTGTTCTCACCTTGTCAGTTGACGGAACACAAGCTAACAAAAAAAAAGAACAACTGTCTCCTCGAAATCTTCTTTGACATCGCCATCAAAAGAGCCGAAGAACTCGATGAGTATCTCCGAGTAAACGGCAAGCCTGTCGGTCCTCTTCATGGCTTACCCATCAGCTTGAAGGACCAATTCCACGTCAAAGGCGTCGATACCACTATGGGCTACGTCGGCTGGATAGGAGGCAACATGGGCATCACCGACCCTACCAAGACACATCAAATCGAAAGCCAAATCACCAAGGAGCTGCTAGCTTGCGGTGCCGTGCTTTTCTGCAAGACCAGCGTCCCGCAAACTCTCCTAATTGGCGACACTTACAACAACATCATCGGCCGCACGCTCAACCCTCACAACAACAACCTCTCCTGCGGCGGATCATCAGGAGGTGAAGCGGCGCTCATGGCCCTGCGCGGAAGTACACTCGGCGTTGGCACCGACATTGGCGGATCTGTTAGGATCCCAGCCGCGTTCTGCGGTATTTTTTCCCTCAAGCCGACCCCCGAGCGCCTGTCATATCGGGATGCTGCGAACACGAACCCGGGGCAGAACACTTACCGCTCCACGCTGGGGTTCATCAGTACCTCTCTTGACGGATGCGAGCTTGCTCTCAAGTCTGTCTTGTCCACACGGCCATGGTTGCAGGATCCGGCTGTAGTGCCTATTCCTTACCGACAGGATGTTTTCGATAATGTCTTGTCTCGTGCGGACACGAGTGGCAGGGCAAAGGCAGACCACCGACCGCTGAAGCTGGGTATCCTGTGGAACGACGGCATCGTCGAGCCTCACCCGCCTATTCGCAGGGGAATGGCGATGGTCGCTGAGGCAGTGAAGAAAGCCGGACACAAGCTCGTGGACTGGAACCCGCCCTCTCACGCAACTGCTCTTAAGATCCACGTAAGTTTTCCACCCAAACGCAGAACCTGTTCTCCTCCTCCCAAGCCCGCCCGTCATCACCGTCACTGACAACACACACATGCTGCAGCACTCCTTCCTCCTAGCCGACGGCGCCCGCGACGTCCACGACCACCTCCTCCTCTCCGGCGAGCCCCTGATCGCCGACCTCCAAGCATACTTCAACCTCCGAGACCCCATCCCGCTACTCGAGTACCAGGCCTTGACCGTCCAAGGACTTGCGTGCGAGCAGGCCTATTCGGATTACTGGAACTCCATGTCGGGAGATGACGGACAGGAAGTCGACGCCGTCATCATGCCCATCGCGCCCCACGCCGCCGTGATCCCGGGGAAATATACTCACCTTGCTTATACCGAGGTGGTCAACTTGCTGAATTATAGCGCGGCGGTGATTCCGGTTACGAAGGCTGATAAGGGGGTGGATGGAGTTGATGAGACGTATACGCCGGTGAACGAGGTTGATAGGGCGAATTGGGAGTCTTGTGAGTTTTTTTTGAGGTTTTTTGCTGGAGGATCATTTGGTGTGTGACTGGAGCTGACGACGAGTAATGTCTAGATGACCCGGAGATCTACCATGGTGCGCCGGTGGGGGTGCAGATTGTTGCGAGGAAGTTTGAGGAGGAGAAGGTATTGGGTATTGCGAAGTTGGTGCATGCTGCGCTTAAGAATGCCCAGTCTCCAGCTTGAGGTTGTTGGGGAGGTGCTGGACTGCCGCGTTGGTCATCAGGGCTGGCGGGATCGATATTCGTGGTTTGGCGATAGAAACCGCGAAGGAGGACCAACAGGCTGGGTTCGTAGGTATGACACCATGATCAATTCATGAGGTATGCTTGGATGATTGGTGTGTTGCTTCCACGCTACGGAATAACACACTTCGGTGTATTATCTTTGTCGTGTTGATGATAGTTGGAGAGACTCGACTTGACATGCCCGGGAAATGGATGTGCTGTTGATGTCTGGCGTTGTGGCTTCTAACAGGGCAAATCCGATGAGGGACACGATCCATTCAGGATAACATATGGCACCGAAGAGCCGCCTCGCATACTCGTACCTTTCTCAGCGTATATTCATGCGTGTTTCGTAATCCTTGAATTCTTTAGTAACCCCCATTCATGAGCCACTCTAGCAGATGAGCAGCGGATGGTACAGGAGGACGCATTGCGGGTGCACGGACCACCACGCCGACAGATGCTACACAAAATTGCCGCTTCTTCCACATCACAACCAAAGTACATCATCTTTAATGTACACAATTTTCGCTGTCCAGATATTCTTTGGTGCAGCTCTGAATCCTGTTTCTCTTAAACCCCTTATCATATCATTCCTCGACGATCTTACTCAGGGCAACTGACGCCGAAACAAGCGCGCGACGGCGGGATGGATGACTGGATTCAGTCGACCGAGCCAGCTCGCAAAATCATCGGCGACGACAACAATATCGAACTAGCCGCATACCTTTCCGCCCAAAATAATCTGTCAAGACCAAACTCCGTCATAGAGCCCGGCATTGAACGGCCACTCCACGCCAATCCCAACAATGCCAGCACCGTCGACGCTGCAGGCGATAATGACCTCCCCCCTTCTTCTACAAGTCCTCCAGCTCCCATCCCAATAGGAATATCGCACTCCCTAACCCTCCGCCTCTACACCTCCCACTTCCTCTCCACCTGGAACTCCCGCCTCTTCGAAGCCGGCGTCGTCTACTTCCTCGCTTCCGTCTTCCCCGACAACCTCCTCCCCGTCTCCCTCTATGCCCTCTCGCGCAACCTTGCCGCCATCCTCTTCGCTGTGCCGGTAGGCCACTGGATCGACACTGCCCACCGGCTAACCGTCGTCCGCGCTTCCATTGTGGGGCAACGCCTCGCTGTTGCTGCTTCGTGCGGTCTTTTCTGGGCGTTGCTGGAGTTGCGGCTGGGATGGAGGCAGTCGCCGCTGGTGGATGGCTTGTTTGGAGCTAGTGTGTTGCTGGCGTGCGTGGAGAAACTGGCGGCGGGCGTGAATCTTATTGCGGTGGAGAGGGATTGGGTGGTGGTTATTACGCAGGGGAATGAGGAGGCGAGGAGGAAGATGAATGCGCGCATGCGGAGGATTGATTTGTTTTGCAAGTTGCTCGGGCCGTTGACGGTTGCCTTGGTTGCTGCGGCGTCGGTGAGGGCGGCTGTGTATGCGACGCTGGGGATGAATCTGGCGTCGGTGATGGTGGAGTATCTTTGCATCGAGACGGTGTTTCGCAGGGTCCCGGGGCTCGGTCGCCCTGCTCCTCCCGGTGAATCAGTCGGTCAGTCGCTCGAGCCGCTTTCGGGGATTGCCTTGAGGGAGGACGGTGGTGCTGCTACTGACGGCAGTACCCATCGACAGCTCGGGGATTGGATACGGAGCATATCATGGCGCAAGCTGCTCATGACTCCCTCTTTGCGCCTGTACTTTGGCCATCCAGCGGTTATCCCTTCGCTTGCGCTTTCGCTACTGTACCTCACCGTACTCTCCTTCTCAGGCCAGATGCTGACGTACCTACTCGCCTCCAACCTTAACCTATGGCAAGTGGGCATCATCCGTGGCATCTCGACAATCTTCGAGCTCAGCGCCACTTGGATCGCGCCCCGTCTGATGAAGCGCATCGGTGTCCTCCGCACGGGCTTGTGGTCCATCACCTGGCAGATGACCTGGCTAGCTGGCGGCGTCTCTTGCTTCTTTTACTACTACGGGAAGGGCTATGAGGCAACTAGCCTTATGACCGCTGTTGGCCTTGTTGTTGCCGTGGCTTTCAGTCGTGTCGGTCTTTGGGGTTTTGACCTCTCGGTGCAAAACATTGTGCAAGGTGTAAGACCCACGTCCTTTCCATCTCCTTCCGAAAAAAAAAAAATCCTGTCTACATGAGCTTTGCCTTGCTACTAACCAGTGGGTTTTCCCCGGATACAGGAAGTGGAAGACGATCGCAGAGGCATCTTCTCCTCAGTGGAAGCCTCGTTCCAGAACCTGTTCGACATGTTCGCGTGGGCCCTTACTATCATCTGGCCAAACCCCAATTCGTTCCAGTGGCCAATTGTCATCAGCGTCACGGCGGTCTATGCGGCTGGCGGACTCTTTGCCCACTTTCTACGCCGTCGTAGAGGCCATCTTCTGCATCCCCCGGCATGTATCAAAGCCAAGCGTCGGAGAAGCAACTCGCATCTATTCGGGTTGGGATGGGCTCGTCGTTCAAGGCGCAGTGCCAGCGATTCTATTATTCTATGACAACCTGTGGTCGGTTGGACTGTTGATTACCTATTTTCTTTGGAAGTCTGTCACATGGCAGGAGACAGCAAGGCCGTGACCGCGACGTTAAAATATCCTGTACCTGGCAAGCCAACCAAGCTCTCACAACCTTGAAGTGCGCTGATGATTCCGCTATCCAAACCAATGTCGTTGCCAGCCGTCTGACATCCTAACTGTCATATATATGCAAAATGGCCGAAGCCTTGTGGCTCACCCGCCATAGGCTTGCCGCATCTTCGTAATGGTTGATTCAAGCCTTACGCTTCAACTTGTAGGCTGGCCTATAAACCACGTCCTTGGACGTAATGATATCGATGACTGACTTCAAGTTCAATGTGTCTACAAGTCTGTCATCTCGCTCCCATGGATGCTAGCTCATATTTTGATGGACAGCACCATCATTGTTCCACTCGTAAATGCATTTCTCTGTCCGCTCCTCTATCAGTGCGCACAACAGACAGAGCAAAGCTCTAATGGACAAATGGACGGACAGATGAGTGTGCCGATTTTCCGTGCAGCCAGCAGCATAAAGCGGGTTTCAATCTACTGCATCGCATCCAAGCCGTCTATATATGTAACATGATGCCTTGTCGATGTTGATAGTTAGCTGAGATGAACCATTTGTGGACAAGGACAAGAAGTAGTGGCTGTTTAAGAGATAGTTATGTGTTGTCTGGAAAATGAGAGGTTAGATTTCACATGGCCAATCGGTCATACTGTGAATGAGGCTTGCTTGTCTGGATCTAGGTGATGCTAATGGATCTTTTATTACATCATATCACTCTTCCTCGTATTAATTTCACATTTTGGTTCGCATCGGCGCCGGAGCTGTGGTTTCGGCAGTATAGTATCTGCATAAAGCTAATATAAACATATCTTTACAGCCAAGTCAACGACACTCCGCTTAACGATGCTAGATTGTTAGATTTCGACACGTACAGCGACACCCAAGATCCAGGACGCTCCCTACCCCAATACGACGTCGAGCCACCGCCACCATTCCTATCTGAATCGAACGATATATCACCTCGCTAGTTATATACCGAACATCAAAATCAAGTTGGCTCGCCATTGGAATCCAACCATACCAATAAGTCTTCCCTCTTTTACCCCCTTCTCGCATCTCCTCTCTCACTACTCCCGCTTATTTCCTATACACATTGTTGGCATTGCGTCGGCTACAAATTAAGAATTATAAAAGCTGCTAAATCCTACTTAATAGGTACGCCTATTGGAAGGACTAGGGTTCTTAAGAGAACGGAGAGAGTACGTTACTCTTGTAGCGTTCTTTATCTACTGATTGTGGCAACGATTTGCCAGTTGTGTTGTTATAGGATGGAGTGGGTGAGTTCGAACTCTGAGTTAATCCGTTCTTCCTATAGTATACCGGATCTTAATATTAATATTACCGATCTTAGCGTTTCTATATACTAGAACTTCGGAATTATATCCGACTTAAAGATTCGACTCTATATTGATACTTTTATCCTACCCCCACGAGCAACCTTCATTCTAGTTGGAATTATTACAAAGCCCAAACATACCCGTCTATATATACTTATTAACCTTAAAAATATTCAATCTATCGAGTATAAAGCCAACGCCAATCCGCCCGTACTTTTTATATATATTATGCCTCTTTAATAGTCCCTTAGCCTCTACTTTAATATAATACGATTACTATCTTTAATTAGCCCTTAAATTACTCTTCTAATTCTAAAAAGGGGGGAATATAGAATTTTATTCGAATTATTTGACTACTCTTTCTACTATCGATAAAATTACTATCTATTTTAATTTAGCGTTAATTAGGTTAGAAGTATAAATTTAAATCGCTTATTTTCCCTCTATCTTCTTATTTACTTTATAATTAGTACGCTTCGATAATTACTATAACCTTCGAATACTTTATAGTAGCCGAGGCGGCCGGTTAATTTAATTGAATATAACTATTAAAAGGCTATCCTCTACTATATAAGAATATAGTTTATTCTTTACTATAAACCCTATTTTATAAACGTTAGTACGCTAACGCTTTAGTATTACCTTCTTCCACTCTAAACGATTAAGGTTTGAAATTAGCGGGTAGCTATCCTACTAATAATTATAATTCGCCGAAAAGCTTCCCTTCTAGTACGTATACTTACCCGGCGTCCAAATTTCTCCTAATTAAGATCTCTTTTTCTAGACCGTAAGCCGTCGACACTCTGACGACCCATTGCCCTATTATATAGATCAGGAGGGCATCTATAAAAGTGGTCCATCTATCGATTTAGCGAGTAGCTCCAAGACTCCAGTACAAACCCCCACTCCATTTAGTATATTCGCCTACCTATTACCAGTCTCTTATCACTACTAATATACCCCTAGACCGAAAACGCTAATATACAATAGAGCCCCCATCCCTTAAAACGTTCTAAAACCTTGTCCTCGCCTTCTGCAATTTGGAGGAACGTTAGATACCCTTCCTTTAAAATCTTTGAGACGCTGCCCGCAATTACTGTAAAATATTCGATAAGAACTATAAAATAATTGATAAGAACTGCAAAATAATCAATAAGAACCAACGCCTCGTATACTGCGTTAAAGAGTTAGAGGACTAATATACCGCCATTCTCGAATGTATTTCTTATAAGGCCAAACGTACCGCTAAGCTCGAAACCCGTATTAAGGAATTTAATATACGGCTTAATAATTAAATTAACTACCGATATAATTTAAATAAAGAATATTACCTCTTACGTCGTATCGATGGATTAATCGCGCGGGCGTTCTACGCAGCGTACGATAATATACGCGGTCGGAATACTAATAAGGGAAAAATAGAGATTCGTATTACTTATTCTTATTCTAACCCTCTATTTATTGAAACTTTACTTTATATTGTAGTATAAGATATTTAGGCGATATATTATCCTTCGCTAATAGTTACCGATTTGTATAAAATAGTATAATTAATAGAGTATTTAAGGGATAATCCGATGAGTATAATTATATATTACGCGTTTAGTTCGGCAATGAGATTAGAGTTTGTGAAGAAGTGGAAAGTTAAAGCCGAAGATTGTAGGCGACGGCCATAGTAATAAAGAAGTAAGTAATATTTGGGGTAGGAGGGGGATTTAGTTGAGCTGGTAAGTTAATATGTACGCTAAAACGGTCCCTGCAATTGGCCCTTAATCTATCCCAGCCCTATAAGGGTAATAATAATTCCAAACGTATATCGTTCTCGCTTTAGTAGTAGTTAGCTTTAACGTCTACTTCCGCCTCCCTAGGGGTATAAAACGTCGTTCTTGCTTTGGGTAGACAAATAATATTGTAGTTAATCGCCGAGTTTAATAAATGAGTAGCAAGGGAATCTCTCGCTCTATTTATTAGATTACTGGCGTTTTGGTCATCCACTACAACAAACTCATCACAGTCCCTCTCTTAACGATAGCGTGGAGTCACCCGCTATGTAGCAAACTTCCTCCACAGATCGAATCGGAAAGCACCCACGACTCGTTTACAATCCTTAGCCCCTACATCTACTGTCCCGGCTCAACATTATAGCTATATTCGCACAGCAATACCACGAACACCAATGCCACGAACACTACGGCCTTCCGAAGAGGTGCAAATAGCGGAAGCCCGCCGAGCCCGTAAAGTCAGTCGCGCTGGCGCCACAATGAGGAAGTGTCACTTACATTACTATCGCAACGACTTTGCCCCTAGCTTGACATATCTACCCTTTTCCAGGGTGAGCACGCTACAGGGTATAATGTTCGGTGGGCGCATCACAGAGCTAGCGTACTATTGGAGCGCTGACCTACTTC